GATGCATATAATCCACATTCAAATTCACCGTTGTCCTCAAAATGACTTTTATCCCTGCTTTTCTCCACCATCCAGGGCCCATTCAGGTCTCACGCCTGGATATATTGGTTGCTCTATCTCTTTAGTTTCTCTTTCTAAGACATCTTTATTGAGATATAATTTATATATCACGTAATTCACCCATTTTAAGTGTCCAACGCACTGGTTTTTAGTGTGCAATAGTCACCAAGTTGCACAATCATCATTATGATGAATTTTAGAATATTTCATCACCCCAAAAAGAATCCCCCCTAAGCCTTAGGCAACCACTAAGCTACTTCCTGTTTCCACAGGTTTGCCTGTTCTGGAGATTGCACATAAATGGAGTCATACCATATGGTCTTCTGTGTCTGGCTTCTCTCATAGCGTTTCACGGTCCATTAATGTTGTAGCATGTATCAGCCCTTCGTTCTTTTTTTTATAGCCAAATGGTATTCCAGTGCATGGAAGTATGTTCTGTCTAAATTATCACTTTAGTCTCTCTTATATTTCCTACACATTTGTTCTTTTGTCTTTCCTCACATTGCCTTTTTTGGGAAGGAGTCCAGGTCGGTTGTCTTGTAGAAGGACCTACATTCTTGGTCCAATTGTTTTCTTATGCTTCGGCCCGGGCTCGGCCGCTTGGCCACAATGCCACCCGGGGCCTGCTGCGTGCTTCTCACGGTGTATGTCTGGAGCCACACGCTCCCAGGTCACACCTGTGGGGGTGCTGAGTGTGAGCTCTCAGTGTGGCAATGGCCACGTTTCTCCTTCACGGGGGCACCTTCCTACTTGGTGATTTGTTACCGTCTGCAGGGTGATCGGCTGAGAGCGTGTGGGGATCCCGGGCCCTGACAGTCTTCACTGAGTGCATCGGGCATCCTTGGTGAGCGAGGCCTGAGTCTGTTTTGACGTTGGGGTTTGCAAACGGTGATTTGCTAATTCTTTATACATTTTTCTGTGAAGACTGCTGCCCTCCCCTCATCCATCACCACTTTTGGAGTTAAACATCTGTGGCCATTTTTCCTATTCGTGTTCAGATTGTCCCAAATTTGGCTTGTGGGGGCCCCTGGAAGCTGGCCTCCGTGTCCTTTTATTTATATCACATCATTTTTGGAATAAGGTGTTCCCGGCTGGCCCGGGCCTTTGGAATTGGCCACTTCCCAAGGAGCCTGAGTTCCTCTAGTGGGAATAGCATTTAGAAACCAACCCTTAGCTAGTAGGGGTTCTCACTGTGACTGAGGGGTCTTTCCTTCTGGGCCCTTTCAGGGGAGTGCTGCAGGGTGTGTGTGTGTGTGTGTGTGTGTGTGTGTGCACGTGTGTTACGTGTATGTGTATATGATGCATGTATACGACATGTTTCTATGTATACGTATATGACATTGGGACAATAGTCATCGGCTGCAAACGTAGAGCCTGATACCACCTCAGAGAGCCTGAGACCCCGCTCAGCACTGGCTGGGATGCACAGCTAAGGACGGAGATGGGAAGGTGCTGACACCCACACTTAGAGCGCCCAACCCCGTCCCACATGCCAGTACTTGCCCTCCCATCCTGGCCCAAGTCATGGGAGGAGGTGACCTCTGTGTGAGCCTCATTCCACAGAGCCTTGGACACAGTGATTCCAAAATCAGTGCTTGTGGGCGACGGAGATCTTTGACCCCTGCAGACACCTGGAGAACAAGAGGGTCCCGGTTACCGGGGTTTATGTTCCAGCATCAAGAAGGGTTCAGGAATCTGGAAAAGGGGCTGCACGTAGATGACATAGAAATCCAGAGACTAATAAAGAGTCCAGAGACGAGATATAATTTTGAAAGGCATTGGGGGTCAGAGGACCTTCAGCTAAAGGAACTGAAGCGTCCCTCCTTGTCTAGGACCCTTGCTTTTATTAACACAATTTGTCCTAAGGCAAGGTGGAGATAACACACTTCAAAGGGTACAGAAGCATTGTCAATTTGGGGGAATTAGCCTACGGCTGTTCAGGTGTTTGGCCAGTAGGAGGCAATAACATGTAGATTAAGATGCCCTTTAACTGTCTGGCAGCCACAATCAGTTTCTTATTCAGGTTTGGGGAAATGCCTTTAGCCATTCCCAGATGGTGACTACACGTGTGACTCAACCCTGTTGAGTCCCCAAGTCTCATCAACCTTTTGATGAAACTCTTGAAATTATGACATGCTGGAATTGGTCTACGGCACCCGGTCTCAGGTGGAGAGATGGCGGGAGGCAGAGGAAGGGTTAGTCAGGCTTGGCTTCCGATGTCCCCTACTTACTTGCCTTGTGGCTGTGGACAAATCGTCGGTGTCTGCCAGCCTCCGTTTCACCATTTGTAAAGCTCAGGTGATGCCTCGAACTTGCTGGTGCCACAGGCTTAGCCTGGTGTCCGCTTCGTAAGCAAGCCCGGGTGGCAGAGCTTCCTCCCTCTGCCAGGGTGCCCCTCGTCCTCATCGTCGCCATCCCCTCAGCACCGACACCGACTGTAGGCTGTGGGCAGGGCTGCTGGAGTCTGCGCTGCTGCCCTCCTGGTGGCTGGAGTGAGGGCACCCAGTGTCGACGACAGGGAGACCCTGCAAACTGCAGAACCCGCCCCAGAGACCCCTCCCGCCTTCTCCCTCAGGGACAGTTCAGCCTGGACAGTGCGGTGAGGGGCAGGAGTGGGAGAGGGTCCGGGCACTGAGTCCCTGCACAGTCGAAAATCCACATGTAACTTTTGACTCCCCACAAACTTAACTACAGCCCCTCGGTATCCATGGGGGATTGGTTCCAGGAGCCCAGTGGTTACCAGAACCCTCGCATATGCAAGTCCCTTCTATAAAGTGGCGCAGAGCCGGACCTGTTTGGCTCAGTGGATAGAGCGTCGACCTGCGGACTGAAGGGTCCCAGGTTCGATTCCGGTCAAGGGCATGTACCTTGGTTGCGGGCACATCCCCACTGGGGGGCATGCAGGAGGCAGCTGATTGATCTCTCTCATCGATGTTTCCAACTCTCTATCCCTCTCCCTTCTTCTCTGTAAAAACCCTCGCATATGCAAGTCCCTTCTATAAAGTGGCGCAGAGCCATGGCCGCGGGTGCACACAGCTCGCCTGCATTTGTGTCGTGGATTCCCAGTCACAGATGAGAAACACTGCTTGATCCTGAGGATGTGAGGCCTGGGATAAGGAGGGCAGACCGTATATTTATTGAAAAAGGACATCTATGTACAGGTGGACCCGTGCGGTCAAATCCGTGTTGGCCAAGGGTCAGCTGTGTTTGCTTGGCCCGTGCCTCGCACGAATGAGCCCTCGAGAGGGCCCTGCACCTGCCTCCTCTCCTTGGAGAATGGCACCTGGTGCCCGCCATGCCTTCCTCCTGGGTGGCCCCATTTTGGCAAGTGCCCGGGGGCAGAACTGATAACTTGGGAGGGTCCAGGGTGGGTGAGCTGGATGAGTGGGTGCGTTAAAAACATGGGCAGAAGCTGATTGGTCCCCAGCATGCTGTGGCCCCAGGTCCCGGGAGGGCTGCTGGAGGAGCTGCCGGAAGTGGGGCGCCTGATGGAGTGGCAGAACATAGACCGGGCGCCTCCCAGGGAGGCGCCAGCCCACCCGAGCCTGCGGGACCGGGAGCCCTGGGAGACACGGCTGGGGCTCAGTTGATTCTGATGCACCCGAAGCCTGAGCGCCGTCGGTAACAAATGGGGAAACTGAGGCCCAGAGAAGTCACATCACTTGGCAGGATGTGAAGGCGAGTGAGTTCATTTTCTTGTCTGTGAGAGCGATGATCTGTGAGGCCCTTTTCATCTGGACCGTCTTGGTGGATGGTTTTATTAGTTGATTTTAGTTACCAGCCAGAGTAGGTCTGGGAGGGAGGGAGGAAGGGGCCGAGGAGACCGTGAGCAGGGACTCTGGCAGCTCCCTGTGTTGCCGGGTTAGCAGAGACGTCCCTGAGGCGGGCTGACCCCCCACTGTCCCCCCAGAAGTCATTCCCGCCCCGTGGGTGGGGGGCTGTCGGGTCCCAGGGGCTTGCTGGAGAAGCCCCTCCAGGCCTTTTCTGGGACTTTATCTGTAAAATCTGACAGCCGCTTCCTTACGCTCCACTAGAGAAAGGCTAGGGACTCTCCCACCCACGAAGGCCACACGCGTGCCTCGGGGCGAGCCTGCGCCAGGCCGGGCGTGGCTCGGGACGGGAGTGGACGCTGCCATCCTGCCTGGAGGCCCTACCGACTCCCTGATGTCACTGCTGCGAGTGCAAGTGCGACAGCGAGACCCAGAGCTGACCTCCCCTGTAGGCTCCTAGGCTCTTGTGGCGTTTTCAGCCAGCCCTCCTCGTGTTCCGACCCAGAACCGTCCTCGGCCGGGGGGCTGCTGAGGACCGTGGGCCCGATGCACCGGGATAGTGGTTTGGTTGCCGGCAGCAGGAAGACAACAGGCAATTTAAAGTCTGAGTGAAGGCGGACCGACGGCTTTCAGCTGAGATCCGTGCTGCTCCGGGGCTGGAGAGGCAGAGAGGTGGCTGGGCCCCAGGCACGTGCCACGGATGGATGGATATCGGGCTGGATGTGTCCGCCCCGGGTTCAGATGAAGCCGTTGCTCGGCATCCTGGGTGCCAGTGCCAGGAGGTGGTGGCCTGCAGCCTGCTTCCTGCCTTAACCCTCTGCTCCCCAGTGGATTCTGCAGGTGCAGGCAGCAAGCGCACACGGAGCCGCTCACCAGCAGAGGGCAGCTGAGGGTTAACTCCCAAACCGTAGAGAAGAGGAGGCCGCCTGGTTTGGAGCGGTTCCCTCCAGCCTTCCAGCCTAGGGCACAGGAGACAGGAGCAGAGTGGGGTCAGGGGTACTCCGGCCGCCGCCTCTCCCAGACGATGGTGACTTAGGGTCAGCGGCAGGCTGAACATCCCGAACTTCCCAGCACGCGCTTGTCGCCAACCCACCGCCTTCAGGGGACCGGAGTGGGAGCGAGTCCAGGATGGAGGACAGCTCTGACGATGCTTCTTATCTCTCCTTCCAGAACCTGGGGTCCTCGTCACCAGGCAGAAAGCAGAGCAAGGAGAACACCATCACGGTAAGTGGCTCCCTCCGAGCGCTCACCGCCTGGGCGGCAAACTGGGGCTTTCGGCCACAGATGGGCTGTTGCCATGACAACGTGGACAGAGCGTGGAAGTGATGCCCAGCCTGGAACTGGGAAGTTCCAAAGCTTGGATGCAGCCAGAGTTCCCCGTGGGTCCCCCCTTCTGTCGATGTCACCCCTCACTTTTCTCTCTGAGGTCGGGGGGGGGGCGAGGAGAAGGATGGAGGCTGGAAGGAGGCAGGAGCCATTTCTGCAGGGTGGGCGGGAGAGGGTGAGGGGGTGGACCGCGCTCTGTGCAAGCGACGTGACGTGTAAATTACAGCCATGGCAGGGTTGCGTTTGTGCCGGGTAACTTCTGGAAGATGTCAGAGTTAAAAGCAAGAGAAAGATCCCTAAGAATAGAGTTCCCGGGAGTTCCTGGCAGGAAGCAAGCGGTTTCTCCCTGGAGTGGCCACACCGCCTCCCAGGGCCCTTCCCGCAGCCACCAGCCCCACGTGCAGCATCTTGTCAGCCCTGTGCCTGGGAAAGGGGGCGCTGGCCAGCAGTGCCCCCTGCAGGTGGGCAGGTGAGGTGCCCAGGTGCTCAAACAGCCAAGGCCTTGGAGATGTGAGAAGTGTGGTCCTGGCTGTGCCGTTTTGACACAAGCGCAGCAGAGCTGGGAATGGGGGCTTGCTCTCGGGCTCCGTCACGCGCACTTCTGAGCATTCGGGCCACCCCCACCGCGGTGAAGCTGAGAGTGGGTGCGCGCCCTGGCTCCTGCAGGCTGACAGTCCTGCGTGGAAGGGAAAATGGTTAGGCAAACAATAACGGCAATCATTGCTGACACTCTTGTGTGCGTTTCTAATGCATAAGCCGTGTTCGGAGCGGCTCACTTCGCCTCCACGCCCTGTGAGGCGGGGGCGCGGGGACCAGCGTCGTGTGGTGATCGTGAACCTGGGCTCTGAAGCCAGAGTGCGCGGTGCAGGCCTGCCTGCTGTGCAGCGGCCTGGGGCAGGGCCCCTGTGTCTTTGTGTCTGTGTCCACATCTCTGCAGTGGGAGGTGGTGGGTATCGTGCCACAGGGACGGTGTGAGGACTGAGTCCGCGTGCGGAAAGCACTTAAAACGGGCCTGGCACATGGTGAGTGCTCCGTGCACAGTCATAGTCTCACCACCCTGTTTACAGATGAGGAAACTGGGGAACAGGGCCACACCCCGCCCAAGGCCACACAGCTGGGAGCCATTAGGATTCCAGACCTGTGCTGTTACCTCTCCCCAACCCCCCCACCCCCCCTACACACACAGTGGACATTGCCTTCTGGGCGGGCAGGGTGGCTCAGCCCAAATGGACCGGTCAGCAGCAGCTTCCTTGTTGCTGGAGCTGATGGGGCAGGGCAGGGCATGGCAGACTTCAAGGGCAAATCTTCAAATTGCCACAAAATGCCTAGAGTGCTGGAGCAAAGCGGGAACTCCCAAAAGTTTCCAGAAATGGGCAAGAGAGGGAGAAGGATGGGGGGGGGGGATTGGAATTGTAAGAGGTAAGTGAAAAGGAGAAATGAAGAGTGGGAAGCAGAATGGGGCCGCCCCGCGTTGCCTGACGGGCCTTCGGTGACGGTGCCCAGGCCAGCAGATGGGCCCCATTCCCTGTGGTGCTGCTTGGAGCCGGGCCTCGGGCCCTGGCAGGGCGGGGCGGGGGGGGGGGACCTCTTGGCCAGCACACCTTGTCCATCTCTGCCAGGGCCTCCCCTCCCGCTTCCCGCCCACCTAACTCAGCGCTTCCAGCTTCTCTGGAGCCAGGCTGCCAAGTGAGGTGGGCACCTGAGGCCGCCGAGATGCGTGTTAAAATGCAGGGTCCCTCTGTGGGACCTTAGACTACAGTTCATCTCTCGAGGGCCTGGCTGGAAGGTTTGGGTTATAACCAACACCCCCAGGGTTTTAGGTAAACACTCAACCCTGGGGAATGATTGCTGGGGAAACTGAGGGTGGGGGGACTGGCAGAGCCCCCGACTTGACCTGGGTCTGCTGGCTGCCGTTCACCTCAGGCCGGAGGTGGGCTGGCAGGGTGCAGAGTCGCCCTGTGTATTGTAGGGTGTTTACCAGCGTCCCTGGCCTCTCCCCACCAGGTGCCAGCAGCACCCCCCCCCCAGGTGTGACCACCAAAAGTGTCTCCAGGTCGCCAGGTGTCCCGGGGCAGGGGAGGGGACAGCCCCCAGGTGGACAGTCGCTGAGCTAACTTCATGGTAGTGTGCAGTCTGTCTGCGAAGTCTGTCCCGCATTTTTCTGCTTCTCCACTTGACTGCGCTGCTCCGAGCCACCGTCACGCCCCCTGGTCATTGCGGGGCCTCCCCGGTGGCTGAGGTCGGCTGCAGGCTCCCTCCTGTGTGTCCTCCCTGCTGCAGCGGATGGCTCACCCTGAGAGTCCCCGGCCAGATGCCCCCATGCCCCCCATGCCACAGGTCCCCTCTGGCTTCAGTGCTGTCTGCTCCCTGACTGTGATCCCGGCCACAGAGCAGCACGTTCCCCGGCCGGCCGTGCAGTGCACCCTCAGACCCTGGGCCCTTTCCCTCCCTGCCACACTCTTCACCTCCCCCGCCCGGCCTTGAACCCACTTGTATTACCGAATATCACTCCCTCCGAGATCCCTCCCCTTCACGCAGCCCCAGCGCCCCATGCTCACCCAGTGGTAGATTCCTCCCAAGTACTGCAGTTACTTATTCCTTGTATCCTTCCTCACGAGGCTGTAAAAGCCTGAGGGCAGAGACTCTACCTGCTGTTTCCAGCCTCCAGTCATCACACCGGAAGCACTGAGCCCCGCCAGGTGCCCGACTGGGCCAGGCACGCAGGAGAGAGCAGGAAGAGACGGGAAATGAACAGTCACGAGAAGTGTGATTACAAATGCACACGTACAGGGTACTGGGAGGGTCTAGCCGTGTGCACCCTCCGCGTACCGTCCACGCAGGGGTCCACGCACGGTGGTTGAGGGGCGAGCTCTGTTGTCATCCTCTGCATTCAAATACGTACCTGGGCGATCCTCCGCTTCCTCACATCAAACGAGGCCAGTGTCACCCAGCCCGTGGGGCTGCGGGGAAGATGAAGTGAGAATCCCTGCGAAGCTCTTGGCAGGGCGCCTGGGTGAGGGCTCCCGGGAATTGCAGGAGGCATTCATCACCACTGCCTCCTGGAGGACAGCCGGTGCAGTTCCGGAGACGCCCACCAGGGGCCGCAGGGCTCTGAGGATGCGGAGAAACCCCCCTGGGAGAGCTGGGAGTTGACAGAGGCAAGAACAGCTACCCTGGGGCCCCAGCCAGTCCATCCCAGGACCAGTGTCCCCACAGAGTGGCAGAAGCCACCGAGGGAGGAGGCCTTACCCTCCCTGACCTCCCCTTCCCTCCCCCCAACTCAGCTAACTCTCCTTCAGTGGTTGCTCCAGGGCCACAGGCCGACCCCTTGCCTTCCAGATCCCCACCCAGCACTAGAGAAGACGCTGGTCCTACCCCAGTGCCTTCAGCCTCCTAGCTCCATGATTCCTAATCCTCAATCCAATGTCAGCTAACGTATCATTAAATCTGGGTGACATTTTCACGGACAGCATTATTGAGTAAAATAAAGATGGACTGTGATCACCGTGCTTTGTTGAAACACGTGAAATGAGGACTGTGGGAAACTTCAGAATCCATCCCTCGTTTCCATGGCTGCTGCGAGAGAGAGCCTGCCACAGGGGTCGCCAGAGCCATGAGCACACCTTGGGGTAGAAGCCCGAAAAGGGGGCCTGGGGACTGCTGCCCGCTCCTGGGCATGGAGAGGCCGGCCCTCCCCCAAGCAGGCCCCACAGGCCGCTGGCACCTCCTGGTTCATAGGTCGACGCTCACCTCAATCACTGGCACCTGGGGTCCCCGTGGGAGCAGCATTGGAAGGAAACGCCCCGCCCCGGGGGGTGCCTCGGCCTCCACGTTGGCCTTGGTGGGATTCAGTGCCGCTCGTCTCCAGGGATGTTGGGGCCATGCGTGCCCCTGATCCTCCTGCCTGTCGTGCTTCCTTCAGGGTGGGAATCGCGCCCAGACTTCAGCCCCATTTCTGGGGGAGGGGCTCCTTCTCTTGGCTGGACTCTCCCACACTCTCCTTGCAGGACCACAAGCAAGGCCTGGCCCCCGACAGCCAGCAGGGTGGGGGGTGGGGGGTGGATTTACTTCCAGCTGCCCTCCCGACCCTGGAACAGGCCATGGCTGGGGGCCCACGGGCCTGACCCAGTGGGCAGAGGGGCTGGCTTGCCTACATTATTGTTGACATCATTACTCTTAGCCTTGGATTCACTGGCCAACATTTCAAAACTGAGACACTTCACATCAAATTCCCGATTTGAAGCTCCTCGGTCGTCACATGACCTGACAAGGATGGGCTCCTCACTCTGTCTTGATAACAGTTGGTGGGGGTGAGAGCAGTCCACCCCTTGGGCTCAGATGGAGCTCCGTAGACCCCACCCCTTCCTGAAGCAGAGGCTGGTCTTTCCCGCCCCGCCCTGAGCTGCAGCTCCTGACACAGGGCACCTCCCTTGTTGTGTGAGCTGCCTGGCCTCGGAGTTTGTGCCTCTGTTCGAAGCCTGGGGCTTTTCTGCACTGTTCTTACCTTGACCGCATGCGGCTCCACTTCAGCAGCTGTGGCACAGGGAGGGGTTAAAGACGGACAGGACGGGGCTCAGGCCTGGTAGGACTCTGTGGCTCCCACAAGGAACACAAATTAGCCGGCTCCATGGGAGGCACCGGGCTCCATGGGAGGGACCGGGCTCCATGGAGGGGACCCGGCTGGACGCGACATCAGCAGGAGCAGTAGAAAGCCACTCCGCCAGGCAGGGAGAGCAGGGCTGCGGAGCCAGCTCAGCCAGGGTCTGAGCCCATCCCAGCATCTGCACTGCGCTCTCCAGCAGGCTCCTGGGTGAGCACCGCAGCCTCTCTGTTCGCAGAATACATTATATGAGATCGAATTCACAGGGTAACCCTTCACCCCTGACCTCCGGCCACAGAATTCCTTTCCCCGGGAGCAAACGGTGTTATCGGCCACAGAAGTATTCCATAGGTAAATAACCAAAGGTGTATATGCCCCCCTTTAACACAAATGGCGGCCTACAGTCATATCCTGCACCTGCTCCCTCCCCCCCACTCAGTCTGTCCTGACACCCCCTGCTTAGAAGCCACTCCCCTGGATGCCCGCCTGTCTCTGCTTTGCTTACCCACCCGCTGCTGGTGGACAGAGGACCTGTGTCCAGCCTTTGCTGTTACAGAGGGTGCTGGGGGGAGGCACATTGTATGTATGGGTGTATCCTACGCACCCGTAGGATAGACTCTTCGAGTGTACTCGCTGGGCCGAAGGCTTTGATGTTGGCAGTTTTGATAGACGCTGTCAGTCCGCCCTCCAGAGGGTTTGTACCAAGGGCAGCCCTCTAGGGTGGGTGTGAGTACTGGTGCCCCCATTTGACATGTTGGCCCTGGAGCATCTCGAGATCCCCGTGTGCGTTCTCTCACGCTGACCCGCCCGGCGCCTCTGCAGCGCTGTGTCCCGGAGCAGAGCCCTCCCAGCCTCCCAGGCCTCAGCCCTCGTTTCTCCCTGTCCTGTGCCTGCAGATCAACTGTGTGACGTTCCCTCACCCGGACACGATGCCGGAGCAGCAGCTGCTGAAACCAACTGAGTGGAGCTATTGTGACTATTTCTGGGTAAGTGGTGCCTCGGTTTCCCCCACACTGTGGCCCCAAGGACCAAGAGTGAACCCCTGGGGCGGGGCATGAAGGGCCTTGAGCTCAAAGCAGAGGGGCCTCTCCTGTTGAAACCTAAAGGACTGGTGGGAGACTTAAGACCCTCTGGAGTCCAGAATGTTCCATAAGTCTCAGAGAATTGATAGGGTTTTCATTCGTGGCAACACGGAAACCCGGGCAGAAAGCAGGTAAGCTGGGCGGTCCCTTTCTCTGCTGCTGGGTAAAGGCAGGAGACTAGAGTCCACTTCAGCGAAGGAATCTGGGCTCCAGACCTGCTCTGTCACTTGTGGGCGACCTGGGACAGGTGCCTCACCCCGGGGCTTCCCTGTTTCCGTCGAAGTCAGGAGGTTGGGCTCAAGGATGTGTAGAGAGCTCCAGATTCTGGGGTTCCAGGGCCTTTGCAGTTTGTTCAGTGGGGACAAAGTGTCCATTTCCCAAGACAAATAAAAGTTCTGGAGATGATGGTTGTACAACAATGTGAATTCTTAATGCCACTGAACTACACACTTAAAAATGGTCAAGATGGTAACCTTCATATTATGTGTGTTTTTCCACAAGTCAACATCTCTTGACAAATGCACAGCCCAGCTCCTCAGAAACTGGTAGAAGTCTTGGGCATTTTATTTTCTTTTATACTAGAGGCCCAGTGCATGAAATTCGTGCACTGGTAGGGTCCCTAGCGGCTCCTGGCTGACAGCCGGGTACTCCCTCTCTTCCCCCAGCTGGCCCCGCCCCCTGGTAGAAATCCAGACGAACTCCTGGTCGAGGGGACCATTTGCATACTACCCTTTCATTATATAGTATTTTTACTGATTTCAGAGAGGAAGGGAGAGGGAAAGAGAGATAGAAACATCAATGATGAGAGAGAATATCAATCGGCTGCCTCCTGCACGCCCTACACTGGGGATCGAGTCCACAACCCAGGCATGTGCCCTGACCGGGAATCAACCGTGACCTCGTGGTTCATAGGTTGACACTCACCTCAACCACTGAGCCATGCCAGCTGGGCATCACCACCCCTTTCAATTCCCCTCTCCTAAAGTGTCCATTCTGGGGTCTTAGAGGTGCAACCTGTTCCCATTTCAAGGGGCGGGGCCTGAGGACGCACCAGGCTGGAGAAGCCCTGACCGGGTCACGCAGTGGCTGAGCTGACCCCGCACCTCTGTGAGGTCACAGGCTATACTTTTAACTCCTTCCATTAAATACCAAAGCATTTGACGCTGGTTCCTGATGGTAAAGGCTGGGATGGGGAAGGCACACCCAGGACCTGGGCAGCTCCGAGAGCTGTGAGGGCAGGTGCCCGATGAATTTCCCCCAGGGAAGCCCATGCTGCGGACACCAGCCAGGAGTTGGGCGGGGGGCGGGGGGGGGGGGGCGGCAAGAGAGGGAGGCACAGGCGTCCTTGAGGAAGTGCAGGCCAAACACAGCTAAACCGTCTAATTTTGAAACTTTAAGAGAATGGCTTGCAAAATGAATTGGGTACTAAGTTTCCATTTCATTGACTTGCCATCTTTTCTGCGTCCTGACTTTTATTTAAAAGGAGCTCGTAGTAGCTGCTATTCGCTGAGTACGTAGTCTCTGCTGAGCACTGTGCTCGGCCATTTCCACGTGTGGTCGATCCCAGGCGAAGCAGCTCAGGCTGGAGTGCGTGGAGACTTGCTCCTGAGATCCCCCGGCTGATCCGGCCCGGGCGCCCCCCCTATTCCATTCTGGCCTCCTCCAATCCAGCTCTTTTCAGAGGCCTCTTTGACCCTCAGTGAAGGTGCATTGGAAGATGGCGCTGCCCGGCCAGTGCAAGAAGCTGACAGGAGATGGGATGGGGTAGGGTTAGGCACAGAGGACCCCAAGTCACAGACGTCGCAGCTTAGAGTCAGGATGCCAGGACTCCCCCAAGGGCCCCCCACCCTGGCAGCCCCTGGTTGGAAGGGATGGGCCCTTGGGGATCAGAGCCCGTGCTCTCGGCCACCTGCCCTTCCTCTGCCTTCCAGGTTGGGAGGTTGAGGGGCGGGGGGGGGGGGCTTACGTGTCAGAGGCCCGTGGGAGCGGGGCACCAGGAGACACGCACGGGTCAGGCAGCCAAGGCCGCCCCTGTCCTCCCTCTCAGGCTGCGGGCAGGGTTCCCAGGTGTCCTGGTCCCCTTCTGGGTCTGTCTGCGCTGTGCTCCACCCTCTGGCCCCGCCATCACTGAAGCTCCTGCTTCTGCTTCCTTTCTAGGCTGATAAGAAGGACCCCCAGGGCAATGGCAACGTGGCTGGGTTTGAATTGCTGCTTCAGAAACAACTGAAGGGCAAGCAGATGCAGAAGGAAATGTCGGAATTCATTCGGGAGAGGTGAGGCCCGCCCCCGCCCCCCAACTCAGGGTACGGGGCCTCTGGTGGCTCCTTAGCCTGAGGGGAGTGAGTGGCAGGAGTGAGCCTGCACCCCCAGCGCTGGGCTTGGATAGCACCAAGGGGAGCATGAGACTAGAACCACAACTCATGGCCCTCGGGCCATGTGTGGTTCTGGCCTGTGTCGTGTTTTTAAAGATTTGAACGACCATTTTTTAAGTTGGTCAGTTTTTACATTAAAATCTGGCATCTCTGGAGAAAGCAGGAAGTCTGGCAGCGGTGGCTCGGCATCCCTCAGGTGGCATTGGCTGGAGCTGAGTGGCCGCAACCTCTGTAGGGGAGCGTGTGTTCCCAGCTCGCCATCGTCTCCACCACTCCCTGCTGTCTGTCCCCACACAGGCTGCTTGGCTCCACTACCTACATGGCCCTCATTTGGAGCACCCTCCCTTAGCATGAGAAAAAGGAGAATGTTACCTTTCAGTTAATCTTCGAACCAAATCTGTGTCCTGGACCTGGGCTTACAGAACCCACCGCCCCTCCCCACGCCCTCCCTGCCTCAGGAGCTCAGTGTAAGGGGAGAGTCAGGTGAGGTGCTTTTGGAAAGGAAGTGCAGAGATTACTAGTGTAATAGTGGTTCAGATGAACACAGGGGAGGAGACAGTGAATTGGCCCGGATGGAAAGATGAAAAGCTATAAAGAGACAAAGTTTCTTTTCTGTCCCCTCCAAGTTCAGAAACCCCGTTAAGTGCACCTCACACACCCACACACCTCACACACCCACCACCACATGCACCTTACCCCACACACATGTGTTTGCATGTGCTCACACACGTGTGCCTGCACACATGCACGTGTGCTCAGACATACATGTATGCTCTCGCATGTGTGCTTGCATACACACATGTGTTCACACACACACACACACAGCTTTCTATCTGGAGTTTCCCAGATACACTGGAAATATTTAGTAAATGGCAATATATTTACACTATTTATTTATTTATTTTTACACTTTATTTTTTAATTATAACAACAACTATCGAGTAGTAATTCTGTAGCATCTTAAAGCACCTCTTTTCCTTCGGAGCCCCGTTTTCTGTTTGTATAATGAAATCTTTATTTTATGACCCATAAACCGGCAGAGAACTGAGAGGTTGCGTAGCTCAGGTGCAAGAAAACAACAGCATAAAACGGGCGAGTAGGAAAATGGCTGTAAAAGCCGAAGTTTGAGCACACCATGGTTTATACTGTCATAAAGGTGTCGTGCTGGCAAATGAATTGAGCCTACAGTCTGAGCACGCTGGTCTTTCCGGAGGCTCGCAGTTTCTCTCAGTCCACCTTGGGGTCGCGTCGGGAGCCTCAGAGCCAGGAGAGGGGCAGCGAGGCACAGGCGGGAGCGTGCGGGCCAGGGGCCGAGGGCCGGGAAGCGGTCAGGTGTGGGGTGAGGCGGGCGCTGGCCCTGGCTGTGGCTGTGGCTGTGGCTGTGGCTGTGGCTGTGGCTGTGACTGTGGCTGTGGCTGTGGCTGTGGCTGTGGCTGTGGCTGTGACGTGCTGAAGCAGACGGGCCTCGCGCCTGGATGTCACGGGGAGGGCCTCCCGCCTGGATGTCACGAGTGTGACGTGGTTTGATCTGCTTTCTAGAGCGATCTCTGTGGTCACAGGCTGGGGGCCACAAGCTGGGCCGGGCCGTTCGGTCATCCTTGGGAGCTTCGGGGGCTTCAGGCAGAAGTGGAACGGGAGGGAAGCGGGTGAGACCCAGAGACCAGTCAGGAGGTAAGCACTGGAAGCAAAGCAGTGCGAAGAAGGAGCAGGGCTGGTGGGGCTCTCTCAGCGGCCAAGGCCATGAAATCACCATCACTCAGATGCTGCC